AATCCCGCCTGGCGGTGGGCTCCGCTGCTACGGACGGGGGGATCGGAGGGTAGGTCGTGCTTGCTCGAGGGAGGACGCCAGACTTTTCCGGAAGGGGGGGGGGATTGGCTTTCTGCGGGCCTTCCTAGCAGCTTTTTCTGACCTCAAGCAGCACATCGCCCGGGTCTTCTACTCCGCCCTCTCCAGAGCTGGGGGGCGGAGATTGACCGATTCCGGAATGACCGAGTCGCCCCCGAGACGAGGCTTCTTTCTTTAGGTGGTTAATGGTTTGGAGGTCTGTGCCTGCCCGCCGGTGACGCTTCTGGAGCTTCTGCCTGCCTCTCTATTGTTGGCTTCGAGGCGCCGCAGAGGAAGCCCAGGGCCGGGAGCTGGCTCAGCTCTTTTGGCGCGCCGTGGCCCCTCCCCCTTTAAGCCGAGGTTGGGAAGTGCTTCTGAGCCTTGTTTTGAAGGCCAGATTTAGAAGTGTTCTGGGAGGAAGGAAGCCTCGGTAGGCGCTACAGTGTTTCCTGCCAAAAAAAGGGTCCCATTGAGCGTCATGGGACTGACTTCTCAGTGATCATGTGCAGATCGGTGCTCCGGCCTCTGAGAACGTGGAAACCAAGAGGTGTCTCCCCGCACCTTTTACCCAAGCACCAGAAGGCCCTGGCAATCCAACGTTCCCCCTTGACGTCAGTACGCTGCCTCTGTCTTATTCCCAGCCACTGTATTAAACAGTTTTGTTGGTCCTTCATGTTCAGCAGATAAAGATTCTCTTAATTTGAGATCGAGCCAAAGTGTGCAAACTTTATACTGTCTTCCCTTTTCTTTAGGGAATATTTGATTATGTGAACAATCTGCTGGGAGGGGTGTCTGTATCATAGGCTGCAGGCAGGAAATGCGTGCCGTGCCATTGGCTGTTCATCAGCCAATCAGTGTCTTCAAAATATTCTCTCTTTCACTCTTCCTCTCATACACCCACCTGGTGCCCACAATATAATTTGATGGGGCAGGATTTATTTCACCCCAGTGGTGGCTGCTACTACTAGAAGATGCTATAAGTCACTAGTGGAGAAATGGCCTTCCAGAGAAAGGGTTATTCACCAATAAGAGTAACTTTGATTTAGAGAGCTATTATTACAGTGTAATAGTAAGCTGAGCTCTGATGATGTGGCCTGCTGCTGCTATAGGTGAATTCATGTTATGAAAGTTATAGAGAACTCTTATTTATTTGACAGGCTGCCAACTGATAAAAGGTTAAAGAGGATGTATATAAAAAAGAATTTAAAACTTATCAGGGCAGGTGCTTGTCAGCATTTTCCATTGCTTTTCAAGTCATTGGTTTTAAGAGTTTCTCTCCATCCAGCATTTCAGCTGCGATTCATGGATGGCATTGCGTTCATTAAAAACTGCAGTGTATACAGCTAAACATTCATTTTGGAGACATTTCTCTTCTGTGTGATAAAACTGTCCTGTCATTTCATATTTTTCTTTGTAAATCACTGAGAGCTGTGTGATTGCAGCAGTGATTTAAAAACCAAAAAAACTACTTTATAATTATGTTATTTGTGCTAGTGTTTTTGCTAGCCCAGCTAGGTGAGAGTACTTCGCTGACTTGGCTGAGTTTAGAAAGCTAAGCAGAACTGGATTTTATTAGCATCTGGATGGGAGACCACCAGGAAACATTGGCTAGACCAGGAAGGAAAAAATATCCTGTAAAAAATGGTGGAAACTCACTTCTTTACTGTTCCCATGGAAACTGCATGGATGTGTCCATGATGCTATTAGTAGTTGAGCTCCACCTGAAGGAAGCTTTATCTTTACTTTTGTTCAAATGGTATACAGTAAGGAAAATTTGGCCCTGAAATTTTAGATTCCATAATTCACAATAACTGTAATTCTATTATTCTTGCCACAGCCATTTATAATTGGGAGCCAATATATGAATATGTGCCAGAATAGTGGAAGAGGGGGAAATCTTAGTTTTTTCCACTATATACATACTTTAATTATTTTATTTCTTAATATATGGCTTAGCTAGAATGTCTTACATAATGTACTTAAAATAAAAATGGTTCTTAAAAAACATTCCTTGTGATCTGTGTTAAGTAATGCTGAATATGTATCTAATGATTGGGCACTAGGCATTGAATCATCTTCTCATTGTAGATACCCCAGGGAAGATTCATCTATCATAGCTTATCCAGCAGAGATTCCCACTTCTGTCCAGATTTGGATGTGAAAATCATCAAACTGGTTTATATTTTGTGTTAGCTAAGAAATGAAGGAGGAGAACTGTGTTAGTCTATGGTAGCAAGAAATCAGAAGGAGTATGATAGCACATTTTCCTACTAATAAAGTTTATTAAAAGGCATAAGCTTTTGTGCATCTGATGAAGTGAGCTACAGCTTACAAAAATTTATGCCTTTTAGTAAAAATTGTTGGTTGGAAAAGGGGCTACCAGACTCCTCCTGATTTATTTTTTAAACATGAATACATTTATAAAAGTGAAATTATTCTTTTGAACCCCCTTTTTAGATTCCTACATGCACTTCATAGAAAGCAAATTGATGAGGTTCAGAGACAAATAACTTGGTCCAGAAGCTGAGTCCTAAAGATAAATTGATTTTGCTTAGAGAATCACATGTAGGGTAAAGCATGCTTTATCCTCACCCCCCCACCCCCACCCCAATATCCAAGCACATCACCATAAAAACAGTTTCCATTTGGAATAAAAAAGCAGTAAAAAAAATTTACAGAACACTCCATACCAAAGTAGGTAAGATACTGTACACGGGCCTAAGAAGCAAAGAAATGCACAGCTCATATATACGCAGAGGCAAATACATGCCTCATTGCCTGACATTCCTTGTGCTACAGGCTGGTGCATCAGTTTATAGCATATTTTTTCAATTCTTTTAAAGCTAAAAAATAAGATGTGGGAGGAAGCAGAGAACCTGGTAAACTGCAAAAGAGTTCTCTGTGGTCCTCGGGGAACATATTAGATATTCCAGAGATAAACTGATATGCTACCATGTGGCACCTACTTCCCTTGAAATAAAGTGACACTTCATTGCAAGTTAATTATGTGCAATGTGACTGATCTGCAATTATTGAATGAAATACTTCAAAATCTTGGTGCCAGTTACTGTACTCTCTTAAAGATCTTTCTGGTGGCAAAATAGAGGCAATATTGAAACACAATAGCTTGTGTGTGATAGACTTGAGACATTTCTCTATAACTTGATTGACTTGTAAACATTTTGTCATATTTCTTCAGGAAACATTGCAAAACTGGTATTCTGTAGTTTTGTTTCCCCTTAAGTTCTGTAGCAGCATACTCTCTGCCTCTTGGGTTTAGCTGGTAGTGTACAAAGTAGAGCAATATATTATTGAGTTGAGAGTGATGTGTGTCACAAAGAACAAAGTAGGACAGCTTGTTGTATAGAGAAAAATTCCCCAAACCCTGGTATAATGTTATACTCTTGGCAATCACTAGCTTCCTTGGGAAGCAGTACATTCATTATGCTGACATCCTACTTTCTTGTCAACCGCTGTACGTTGCCTGTCAAGCTGTACGAACACCCCATATCTGAACTGATTATCTCTAGACCCTGTGTCTCTTTGTCCATTGCTAGCCAGCATGCAAGGTTTTGCCCTCCTTAATTCTGTAGTTGAATGTAGTTCTTATTGTATTAATTAAGTGGTAGTGAATCTGTTAATGTTTATCCTAGTTCTGAATTAGGTGGTTTCAACATCATGATGGCATCTAGTTAACATGGCAAATGAGATTTTGTGCATGTGGAATCCATATGTATAGAGAAGTAGGTGTACATGTAACTGAAACATGCACCCATGCCAAAGTGCCAAAAGAAACTTGAATTTTTAGATAGGCATGTATGATGAAACCCTGACTTTCCTCCTTCTTCCAAACCCACTGAGAAAAAATTAAAGTCAAGCAAACGTCTCACTGAGGGATATCTTGCATAGGCCAAATGATGTGAATGATTTGCAGAGGGATAGGATTAAGGAGCAAAGTAGGTCCCTAAAACTCCTCAAAACCTGGGGGAAATCAGGTTTTACATTTTAACTCTATCACTGTAGAAGGGGATATAAGCTGCCAAGAAAAGGGGGTATTTCACAATATACTGAGAAGTTCTAGGGGATGAAGCAGACTGGGTAATAGTTACACAGAAAAAGACCTGTAATCTGATTGTTGCTTTAAGTACTGTATTTGTCAATGAAGAGATTATACTTTGCCACTCTTACCATAAGAGAAATCTGTCTAGTTCAGCTTTTTAATTAATTAAGGGCCTGTTATAAAGTGCCTCTTTTCTTCTGAATAAAGGGGAACTGTAGGCTCGCTCCCAACCCAAAAGTGCCTTTTAAACAATAAGTTCTTATGACCTTGCCTCCCTTTCATCCCTATTATGCTGTGGAGGCAGATCAATGTTGTCTTTAGTGGCTGTGCTGCCAATATTTTCCATCTTCTCCCAACATAAATCTTATAGTGCAGACAACCTGTTGCCTCAGTGGCCGTGCTGGTGATGGCTGGTCAGGGGATGGGATCGATCCAGTTCCTTTTGACTGCTGAAGTCTGGGGTGTGTGAGACTAGGCTGAAGCTGCCATAACCTAAAGATGAAGCAGGCACGTAAGCAGAGAGGACAAAAGCCAGGAATCTTATCTATGAGATACCTTCAGGGAGGTAGATAAGAAGGAAGCAAGTCAAAAAAGGACCTGAACCAGAAAGAGGAAGTTGGGCCTGAGCACATGGAAACCCTCACCCCAATC